CCAGTGGTAGCATGTAGATGTTAAAGAGAAGATGCCCCATTATGGTACCTGTTCATCTCAAGACTGGTCCTATTTATCAACTGATATTTATATTAGGGCCGGGACTTTAACGCGTTAATTAAGATGAATTAATTACACAAAAATTAACGCGTTAAAAAGATTAACGCATTTTAATCGCACTTATTTTTGCACCGCGGAACGTTTCTCACTGGATGAGTTTCAGGGGTACCGGTTATACTGGAGCACCAACTAACGTTCATGACTTCAGACAACAACAAACCACAGTGAACAATAGTCAAACATGAACGAAGAAGCTGATGAGACCGCTTTGGTTGGCCCCCTGGATGGGACATTTTGTTTTAAAAAACGGACGGATGGAAGCATCGATAAGAGCACGGTTGTTTTCAAATTATGCAAAAAGGAATTTGCATATCACCGCAGCACATCAAGCCTCAAGTATCACCTCAATGCAAAAGCTATAGCAGCTAGCGTGGAAGCTAGCGTGGACGTTAGCCCGACTCGGAGTACAAGGACCCACACCCAATTCGCGTTGATCAAACAGTGGCCTATGCAACAGAGAGATTTTATTTTTCATCAGCATATTGGAAGAATAGGAGGGATTGAGGTCAATCACTGGCACTTTTTTTATTTTATTTTAAATGGTACACTTTATGTTGAACTATTTACTACGTTGTTGGTGCAACTGGCACTTTATGTTGACACGGTTGTTTGCAAATTATGCAAAAAGGAATTTGCATATCACCGCAGCACATCAAGCCTCAAGTATCACCTCAATGCAAAACATATAGCAGCTAGCGTGGAAGCTAGCGTGGACGTTAGCCCGACTCGGAGTACAAGGACCCACACCCAATTCGCGTTGATCAAACAGTGGCCTATGCAACAAAGAGATTTTATTTTTCATCAGGATATTGGAAGAATAGGAGGGATTGAGGTCAATCACTGGCACTTTTTTTATTTTATTTTAAATGGTACACTTTATGTTGAACTATTTATTACGTTGTTGGTGCAACTGGCACTTTATGTTGAACTGTTTATTGTTTTGCTACACTTTATGGCAAAAATTGCACTTTTCTGTTGGTCTTTGTTAAGTACCACCTTGAAAAAAATAAACAATGTTTTGTTGCTTAAGCTTATGTATTCACTCATTATTCAATGGTATACTAAAATCCATGTGAAAAAAATTGCTTCTCACTGTTCTCAGGTTAAATATTTATATGTGATTAAAAATGCGATTAATTGCGATTAATTAATTACAAAGCCTGTAATTAATTAGATTAATTTTTTTAATCGAGTCCCGGCCCTAGTTATATTACATTTGATCAAAGTCCCAACATAGACTGCTTCCCTACATTTTCCAATGATTCATTTGCTTTTCATATTGGAAGAAATCTAAACTGTAATCTAACCTTTGAAGCCACATATGGTTTCCGGTTCTTCAGTTTGAGATGGACGGCCAGCTCCTGAGCGAGCTCATTCACCTGTTGGTCCTGTGAGGAGGTAAACAGAAAGATAACAAATCAATACATTTTGCAAGACACAAGTCTCTAGCCTCTACCATGTGGTGTCACCCACTTTATATCACGTTGAACTGGTCCACAAAAGCTATTTATTTGCAATTAAGGTTCATGTAACAAATGCTAAGAAAATGCTACAGCTGGTTAATATATTAAAAATAACTGTCATATTTTAGCAACTGTCTCTCTATCCTGATGCATGAGACAGAAAATCATTGATAAATAAAGTAATGTTCTTCTGACTCTTTAAAACTCCCAAATGGCATTTGCAGGACTCCACTGCACCGAAGGGAGACAACCAATCAGAGCCAAGCTGTCAACTATTGCTCTTAAACTCGTGTCAAACAGGTTAAATATGACTAAAGATTCTGTTACTGCATTGCCTATTTTTTACTTTCAATGTTTTTCGAAACACATTTTAGTGTAACATTTAGCTGTAGATCTGAAAATGTGCTCAAGGCGGTGCTTTGTTTTGGCTCAGGTAACACATTTGCTCATTGCATAGAGCAGTTCACTTCAAGAGACACCGTCTGATTTTTTTAATTAAAGTAATTTGCTTCGACTGATTAGTGTCCACTTTCACTGGCAGTCCTATCTTTACCAGTCTGTTGATCAGCAGGCAGTCTGTGGTGCAGTTGTACGCCTCCTTGTACTTCTGGAGCTCCTTCAGACAAAGGGCCTTCCTGAACAGAGCCCTGCGGCTTTCCTTACACACCGTCAGAGCTTGGTCGCAGTCCTTCACGCCCCGCTCATATTCCCCCTGTGGGAGAAGAGAGATAAAGTAAAAGAACAGGGTTAAAAGTGTCAGAATCAGATCAATATTTGTTGGTTTTAAAGAGAAGCTTTGTGGTTTAGGTGTGAGCAGTGGCAGCTCCAGGGTATGGCTGGGGTAGGCTACAGCCATACCAAGAAATGACTTAGCCCCACCATGAAAAATGATGTTAAAGTAAGCAATTAAAATAAAATAATAAGCTTATACACTAAAGGTGTGGAAATTCTCTGGTGTTATAATATCAGCGAGGCCGTGGTCAGATCAAAATGCCTCCGAATGCAATTGAATAGACCTACAGCCAATCAGAGCAACGAAACGTTGGGTCTGCGTCACGCATCACTGATTGAGATCACTCAGATCTGCCACGTAGACACGTCGGACGGCGTATAGCGAGTTCATTGTTGGGACCGGTACACCTATAGACTGGGATGCCTCTATTTCCTGGTCTACCACNTGGCTGGGGTGATGGGGGTCTTTTATAATCCGGAGGGCTTTCTTCCTGAGCCGCTGGGAGTAAAGGTCCTCCATGGATGGCAGCTCCGTCCTGGTGACGTTCTGTGCAGTTTTCAACACCCTCTGTAAAGCCTTACGGTTGAGGTCGGTGCAGCTGCCGTACCAGGCCATGATGCAGCCAGTCAGGATGCTCTCTATGGAGCACCTGTAGAAGGTCAGGATGCTCTCTATGGAGCACCTGTAGAAGTTGCAGAGTATCCTGGAGTCTATGTTGAACCTCCTCAGCCTGCGGAGGACGAAGAGCCGCTGTCCAGCTTTTTTGGTGATGGTGGTGGTGTGAAGAGTCCATATCAGGTCCTCAGTGATGTGGACACCGAGGAACCTGAAGCTGCTGACTCTTGTGGATTACAGGAAGCAGCAGAGAGAGGGACACGCCCCCATCGCCATCAATGGGACTACGGTGGAGATCTTATTTGTATTTACTTGCACATCTCAAAACATTCTCTTGCACTACTTTATATGTTTGAATGGTTTATGTCCTATATATATTCATGTTGCACTGTATGAGGAGCCTGTGACTTCAGTTTTTCATTGACATATCTACACTGTAGCTACACATGACAATAAAGCCTTGAATCTTGAATCTAGAAGTACATAACCAACCAAGTCATGATCCGCTTTGACTTGACTGATGAGGAAAGAGCTCTGGTAATTAAAGGTTGATTGCTGGCAGAGTCGACAGCCATTCATACCGAGGACGGAGACACCGAGCTGAGTGAAACACCAGCCAATGCCTAACATCGGTTAAAATGTGAAGACAGTCAAGGGCAAGGACAAGTAGGAACAGGATTAATGTAGCTGCCTAGAGCAGAGGCTGACAATGGGAACAGCAGTGAAGTTTAAAATAGCTCAGACTAACCACATGTCAGAGTGTTTGAGAGAGGGAAAAGAAGGTGTGATAAAAACCAGTTTTTCCTCTCCTCTGAAGAAAGATTGCTCTGTAAAGAAGTGACAGTTCTGATGAATAAAGATCTATTTCAGACTCCAAAAGCGAGGCTGTCTTTTGTGACAGCATGTTATATTATTAACAAGGTGTGTTCTGTTACATTTCACCGTTAAAATGTCCAAAAATGGCAACACCAGTGTATAATTGTTGTGCTGTAAACTCATGGTTTGTGCTGGGTGTATGAGGGTTCAATTAATGGGGTTCAGTTTATGTGAGTGTGACTTTAAATCTGGATGGAGATGATTGATGTGTATAAATAGAGGGGATAAATAAATTAACGTCATTGAGATTGAGGAATCAGCAGAGGCCACTAGTAAGTGTGATTATTATATTGAATGTGATTTAATGTGTATGGGATATGTGTGATCCTAATTGGTGTATTGTTGTTGTCCTTTCTTCTTCTAAGGTTAACAACCTATTTAAAAATAGGAGTTGTTTCCGTCCATCTTGATTCCACCCATACTGTCGGGAGATAGACAGTACAATTGTTGTTGATTTGTTTGTTGTTCTGAATGTTTCTGGCAACTGTCATGCATAGAGAAATCTCTCATTGTAATCAAGGTGACTGTCTGTTTTATTTGGTCGTCTCTATTAGCGTTCCCATGAGCATGTGTCATAGGTGTGGTTGTCTGCCAGAAGATGTCATAGATTGACATTTAGTGACATTTCCACAAAACACTTTTTAGATTTTGGTCGTTTCTTTAATCGTATGTTCAACAGGACAAAGAATTTTGCTCGTTTTACGTCTGGGTCTTAAAGCTATCATTAGATTCAAGGCTTTTATTGTCATTCGTACATAGCTACAGTGTAGTTATGTCGATGAAAATCTTACGTCCCAGGCTCCTCCAACAGAGCAACAACGTTAGCTCACAGTCCCTCTATAGGTGGTCCACTGAGCAGTGGCCGTTTCTCAATCGCGAGGAAACTGGCTTCCAAGCCAATATTTCAAGGATGCNCACCTAAACTGGGATCCTCTATTTCCTTCTCCAACTCGTCCCTTTGGCACAGATGCACCGTCTAGACTCACTAGAGTGTAGTCACTTACCGCACTGCGTCTGGGTTGCAAAGCAAACGAGACTAACCGACATTCCCAGATAAGTTAAGCGTAAGCCTGCCGTAAAACTAGACTGGTGCGGAGCCGACTATAATATTGTGGTTCTTAAAGGTGTGGAAATCGTAAAACGAATAATAAAATAAAATTAAACGAATGAGAATTAGTAGTAAAAGTACCCACCCCCGATCAGTTAAAGAACCGTACCGACATCGGATGGGGTCGGTTATGGGACCTCGTACGGTGACGATTTGTGGGATTTGGTGTTTCGAATGAGAAAATTTCGGGTTGTTTATAACTAGACTAACGACTGGAAACATTGGCAAGAATCATTACTTTGAGCGATATGCGCAGGCCCGTGCCTTACCTTGGACTTCTACACAACTGCTCGGGTCTTGATAGATTGAGTGGGGAAGTTCAGGAGATATTTCAACAATACCCTGGGTGGGGTGGCGCAATGGGCTGTGCGTTTGATCATCAGGTCAGGGGGCGTTGGGGAACCACAGTTTGAAACCCTCCTCCGCCACCATTGCATCAGGCCGTTGTGTCCTTGGGCAAGGTGTTGTTACAGCAAGTCCCGATGGAGAAGAATTTTGTCGTAGAACTACTCTTTATACATCCATGGATACAACATTACGTGTTGATAGAAATCAATACGTAATGAAATAAGACCCCACGGTTTGATGATTGATAGGTGCGTGGGCTGTCTTTCATTTTGACACACAGAACATTGGGGGCTATCCACCCTTATCCACAATGTAAAGTAATTCACAGCCTCTTCTCTCTGTGAGGAGCAGCAGGTTCAGCTTTCAGAACAAAGTGTCACCTTTTTCACCTGTGGGGAAATTGCAGGGTTGGCTCCAGGTCGCCCTTTTTTATTTACTACAAGACAAATGTGCATTTTTATTTCATAGCGTTCAATTTAGATTGATGACCATCATCAGTTTAAACTTGTTTACAAAGCATACTGTAGTTCTGTGAAGGGATATAATCTGCCTTGCATGGCACAAACAATGTTGAGGATGTGGGTTTATTCCCATGGACCACATTTACTGAGAAGCATATATTACTGCACTTTTTTTGGCATTATATCTTTGGGTCATGATTTATTGACGAAGGAAAAAGTGGGTTTAACTCACACCTGTTGCTCTCGATGTCATTTTGCACGAGACAGGGAAATAATCTAAGCCTCACCCGTGGCGTCAAGGGGGGGGAGCGATATAGCATGTATGTATTTACATTGCAAATGCTGACTTAATCCCCACCACTGTATGGGTTAGCCCTACCATAGATTACCCAACACAAATACTCAAGGACAGAAATGCTTCCTTTGGGGGAATTATTTTACTGAGTTTATAGTCTATTATTGTTTTGTACAATATCTGAAGTGTACATTTACAGATAACTTCATTGTGCTTTGCCTAAAAAAGGCAGTTAAAATATATCAGAGATTTTGCGATTGTCATTCCCAATTCCAGGTCTGAATTGAAAGTGTACATTGAAAATGTTTTTTTTTCTTCAATTGAATCAGATGAGAACTGAGCACATGCCGTCGGATGTACCGCCTCCAGAAAAGGCCCAGCGTCTTCTTTCCGAGTGTTCAGCTGTATTTGTGCGGCCACTCAACTAAAACATTATGAAAACATTTCAACTTCCTAGAAAAGCGCTGTTGACGTTTTTTGCCATGTCTTTCAGACGGAAACTATCATAACAAAGACCTTAAAGCCCGTTTGTTGAAGCAGACCAGCTGGGTGCCGGTGAGTGTGTGACTTTTATTGTCCTCCTCCGTCATTTTATGGGTGTCAACAAACTCATTCATAAAATGTGATAACAAGAATCTTCTCGTTGGTATATAGTGAAAAAAATATTGTGAAAAAATATATAGTAGGATAAACAGATGACAAAATCCATGCTAGTCAGTCTTGCAACAGCGGTGAAACGACATATCGTTGTCATATCAGCACCCTGCCATCACCTTTCTGATAGAAAAAGGCGCTACATGCATGTGGACATGGGCCCTGGATTGTATTCTAAGTAAATGGTAAATGGACGGCATTCTTATAGCACTTATTCAAACTTTACAAGTCAACATTCACCCACATTCATTCAGAGACAGAGGCTGCCATACACCTGATTACACAAAGACTCACACACACACTGTTGGCCTTGGGCTTAGATATGTTGCCCAAGGACACTTTGATATGTAGACTGCGGCATTGGATGACTGATCGACCTCCTGAGACACAGCTGGACTTTCCCATAATTCATAAAGAGGAATATATATTTCTGTCTTGGATTAACCGCTACACTTAAATTATTAAACTGTTAAATAAAAGTTGAAGCAGGTTTAAAAATCCCTTTTTTTAAATGTTATCTATAAAACACATTATACATATTTTCTTTAGAGTGTACTAACGGTTACTACTGACTGCTACTTCAACACCTTTATATGTTCATTTAAAAAAAAAAAACACTACTCTTTGTTTTACCCTGGATGTCTACTTTTAAAATATTTTTTGGCACATGCTTGCTTCTTTATTTAAAATGTTAGTCTACTGTTCTTATTTTGCCTTTTATCAACACTGTCCTCTTTGCTGTAAATAAAGGACTTCTGATACGGATTAAACCTGTCATTACTGTGGGTTGATGCATTTTCATCTGTCTCCCCAACTGACTAGGAAACAGATCAGACTTGGGTGTGGAGACGCATTTCTCTGGAGCTAATTTCCTGCCATAACTCCACAAACAAACTAAACAGGTTTTTATAAATGCCAGTACTAGTCCCACAAGTACTATGAAGTACTTTTACTGTGTACTTTTTGAGTAATCCTCTGTCAATGTCCCCTCCTGAGTACAATAATGCATGTTTCTCTGCTATTTTGAATAAGCGTTAAAACACCTTTATACTTTAAGAGGATGGTAGACATAATATCAGCAATACTTCCAGTCAGCACTCCAGCAGCAGCATTTTTACCCCTTGGAAAGTCTTTAGAGTCTGGCCTGAATAGCTGGTCACAAATATCCTTCAGCAAAGTGACACACCCGTGTGACACACATTTCACAACAACACACAGAACACACTTCATCTTCAAAAGGTTCTACACAACTGAAACTCATGGACCAGCTGTTTCTCACCTTGCTGTGGTGGGCAGCAGCCCGGTTCACATAAAGACTCTCCAGCAAAACCTCGGGGATCTGGATCTCCTCGGCTTCAGCGTAGCTCGAGACGTTCAAGGCTTCACTGAACTGTCTCACCGCCTGCTCCCAGTCCTCGTCCCTGAAGAAGGCGTTGCCTTCATCCAGCAGATTGCACACCAACTTGGTGAGGAAGTCCTAGAGGAAAGGAAAGAAGGGGATATCATGCTGGTGGCGTGTCTTAAAAACATTGGGTCATATCATGAAGTAGAGTAGTCACAACACTTTCAACACCATGTTCTTTATTTTGTTTATATATGCCATGTGCAGTAGTTAAAAACAAAATGGTTTAATTAATGATTTTATAGTCTAGGAATTGGTACAGTCTACATCTAGTTATCACAATGACTTCTATAATACAATAACGGACACTATTTTTGCATGCTTCCCAGGGCTGCACAATCAATCTAAACGTTATCAAAATCGGAATATGGGCTGGTTAAGAAATGTAATTGTGAATGCAGAATATTTGTGTATAATATATATAGAGCAAGTGCTTAAAAACATTTTGAATTAAGTATTGTGAAGGAATCCTAAACTACAAATTATAGCCTACAGACTTCTTAAAAGACAAGAGAGACATCACAACACAATGAAAATTATAAATCCTTCCTTTATCGTGACTCAAATTTGCAATAATTGCAAAATATGATTTAAAAAACTTGGAGTGAGGTAATTTTTGTTTACTAATCTTGCTGCCCTAATGCTTAAATATACTCATTACCACACACAAACAACAGCTCAGGATAACAGGAAGGTGATTAATTGAGCAAGTATTTAGTAATTCACCAGGTCAGGCAAGGTCAGTGGATCATCAAAGTAACTTCGATTCATACTCCCTAGCCATTTACAAAATGTGGTGGCAATCCATCAAATCACTTAAAAACAAGACCGTTAGAGTGGTGCTAGAGGAAATAATGTAGGATTCATCCTCTGGAGACATGCAAAATGTAAGCCTAACTATTCAGTAGTTGTTGGTTGTAACACTTTCAAAGTAAGTATTGAGATAAACTTGAAAAGGATCTGACGAGTGGGCAAAGTATGTGAGAATAGATCCTTAATTTGCATGCAGCCAAGAATGGACAGAAAGGTGGGAGGAAAAGATAGACAGAAGAATTCAAGGGAGAAACGAAACTGAAAACTAACGGGGCTTGGGGTTTTGAGTTATGGCCAAGTGACTGTCGATCATAACAAGCATAAATCCCACATTGCAAAAGGGAAGTGACATAAGGAAAACACATAACATTGTGTTCGTAGTAACAACTAGTACCTGGTATCCATCCGGCTCTGGATACGCTAGTGAAGACCTAGAAAACAAGCGAATATTAGTTTAGAAACGTACTGGCTGGGTTATGAGCAAAGGCATGAGTCATTCAGGGAAACGGTAGGTTTCACTTTCCGTCACTGAAAACATCTTACTGTATGAAAGTCAGGGCTTTGGTTATCTCCTCCTGGCGTTTCTGTCTGGCAGGGTCCATGCTTGTTCCCTGGAGAGAAGACAAACAAACAAAAGTAGATTGTAACAAAGCCTGACTGTGATAAGGCCCATCAAAATAAGCCTTTAATTTCCTCGAAGAGCAAAAACAAAACACCTACATGTCAAATTATGCAAAGACAACCATCGAGCCTGTCTTCATGTTCATTCGGTATTTAAATAGAGAGGTGGGAGAAGTACTCTGATCTTGTACTTAAGTAAAAGTAGAAGTAACAGAGTGTAGGAATACTCTGTTACAAGTAAAAGTTCCGTAATCAAAATGTAACTCAAGTAAAAGTACAAAAGTGTTGGCACCAAAATAAACGTACTCATTATGTAGATTAGTCCATTTCAGAATGATATACATCATATGTTTTGATTATAATTGTTGATGCAGTAATGTGTTTATCAAAGCTGGGAATCTAGTTAAATTACTTTGAATGCTGCAGGGTATTTGAATGTAATCCAGGTGTAACAAGTCATATTAAGTGTTCTCTATATTTCACATTATTAACCCATATCTGAAAAGTAACTAACGGTATTAAATACATGTAGTGGAGTAAAAGTACAATATTGACCTCTGAATAGTAGAAGTAGAAGTACACAATAACAAAAAACTGAAATACTCAAGTCAAGCACAAGGCACTCAAAAAGTACATTCAAGCGCAGTACTTGAGTAAATGTCCTCACATTACACCAATGTTTTAAAAAATGCACAAACATCTAGCATGCAAGCCCCCTGACTCCCGCATGTGTCCCTGCCTATCGTGGCGTGAGTGACTTCCGACACACCTACCTGGTGAAGCGAGGAAGTGCATTGGACTGAAGTTAAGTTTAAAAGCGTGCCATTTAATCTCCAAATAGGCGGAAAGACGGAGACACTTCTTGAGGATATATTAGTCGAGCTGACGCTGAGAAACACCCAGCCGAGGAACAAGACACCCGCAGAGCCTCCGTGTATGACTTGATAAGTTTCGCTTTCCAGCAACACCAATGTTATCAGCCAACTATAAACCTTACACTGGCCCTTTAAATGAGTATGAGCTTATATCCCTGAATAAAGTCTGACAGGCACCACTTCCTGCTCACACACCATAAACCTGTCCCCCTTATACCCTTATTTCCTGCAATAAATCCAAACACAATTTATTCTTGTTCTCTCTTTGACTTAACATTGTGTATGGGTACAATAATACAATGCATTCCTCAATAACGGTTAAAATACCCAAGTGGTGCCTGACAGATTTTGCATTAAGGCAAAGAACACAACGTCAACAGCAAAACTGCGAAACGTTAAAAATTTACATAAATAACCTAATTAATTTAATTAAAAATCAATGTAAGAGAGTTATTCAACAAAAAAAGAAAACCAAAGGAATGGAAAACATTTATATGTAGAATGTAAAGATTAAAATATTGATCAACAAAAAGGAGAGTCATGACTTTGCTTTTGCCTGGTAATATTGGCCTGTAATGATGATACTATAAATCATGGTTAGTTACGTTTTGGAATTTTGGACCAACTGATATACTGGAAAGAAGGTAAACGCTTCAAACACACTTGTAGTCTCTGTTGGACTACAAGTCCCTTGCCTCCCAGCTCTTTTGCCGTCAAGCGCTCTAGTGTCGTGCGCTGGAATCAGTTTTGAACGCTAGGAGCGAGCGGGAGCGTGTTTCTGGACTGGATTCCAATTCAATCAGCACAGCAGTGTTTTGGTAATATCTATGACATTTTGTATTAGTACTATGAATGCAATATCGTTCATGTATTCATTTAAATCAACCAGGGACTGTTTGGGTAAGAATATCATCTTTTTAGTTGCCAACGGTTGCCATATGTCCGACTCGAGAGGCCGAGCAAAGCCACGCTCTGTCCCACGAACTAGTGCTAGCTAGCTGACTACATGTTCCCTTTTCTGCTAATGTTGCCACTTGAATGAGTTTGTTAAGTGTCTGAAAAGCACGATATGTCCCTGAACTGACAGTTGTCAACAGCAGCAACACCTGCTCCACTGGCATTAAACCGTCTAGGTGTGATAGCACAACAACAGCAGCACTCGGCTAATGCTAACCGAAGGCAGGGAAACACCTACCCCAAAACAACAGTGATTTGACAGAGGTGGAAGAAGTGCTCAGGTCTGTTACTTTAGTAATAGTATTAATGTAACAATACTACAGTGTTGCTAGTACAAGTCCTGAATTCAAAATCTTACTGGAGTAAAAGTACAAAAGTATTAGCATCAGAATATAGTAGACTATAAAGTACACTAAGTACTCATTATGCAGAATGGCTCATTTCAGATCCATGTTATTGAATTATAATAAGTAATGTGTTTATCACTTCAGCGTTGCAGCTGCTAAATGTGTGGTTTATTTCAGTTACTTTATATACTGCTTGATAACATAAGCTATAATAATGAAATAAGTGTATCATAGTTTATTGGTTGAATAGTTTATATATATTTATATATTGCTCTTAATCTGCGAAGAAGCTATAAAATACAGCTGTCAAATATATGAAATCTACTAAAAACTTCAATATTTGTGCAAAAATGTAGTATAGAAAAGGTATTTTTAATTGTATACAGAAAATCTTAAAAGCTTGTTTACTATTCAGCATACAGATTAAATATAACAAAATCTATGAATAAAATGTCAACTGCTGTAAACTTTTAAATGTATATATTACACCGAAAACCTCGCTTTCAGTTCTTATTGAACTAAGCTTCAGAAAGAAACAAGGTGGTTTGAAGCAAGATTATCCACACATAACTTTCTGTTTGGGTTTTTATTGAATTAGATACTTGTAATAAGTGTTTACGGTGCTACCTGTTGAAACACTTTCTGTCACTGTATGTCAGGATTATAATAAAAACTAAATAATCTGTTTGTCCACAGGCGATGGCGACAGACATTGTTGCGCAGTTGGCCGAATCTCTGGCTAAAACTGGAGTAGAAGATGGAGAGCTGAGCTACAAAGGCCAGGGAAGAAAGCTGGACGATGCCCAATCAGGTGAGAGACAGACTCGAATGACGCACTACAATCTCTGTTTTTAACTATTTTTTATTAGAACACTCCAACCCCTTTTTCCCCAACCCCCTAACCCTTTTTTTCTTTGCTTTTTAAGAAAATATTCACAAAGCATACATAACAAAATAAACACATCTAGGTACAGTACATAGATTAACTACATAACAGATCACAAATACGAAAATAAATAATAGTAATAATAATTACAAATAAAATAATGGATACATTGTTAATACTCAGCTATACTTGAAATGTTTCCCACCTTTCCTCAAAGATACGCATTTGGTTTCTAATTCTCATAGTAGTTTTTTTTACATAGATTTCATTTACTAAGTTATTCCATTGTGAGTTTACTAAGTTATTATCTTTTAGCCAATTCCTTGTAATTAGTTTGATGATCGCTATTCTAATTACCAGAAATAGATACCCCCTAACCCTTTACCTTGTTGCCCTGACAGTGGAGGAGATCGTCAAGGAGATCCAGGACTTTGAGGACCTACAGGCTCTGAGGCTGGAGGGAAACACTATCGGTGTAGCGGCAGCTCAGGCCATCGCCAAGGCCCTCGAGACAAAGAGCAAGTTCAAGGTCTGGAGTGTTTCTTCTCGATTTCAATCATCACACTTTCTGACACTAACCAGGAACTGAGTGGTATTTTTGAAATGATAAATATGAACTGGTCTATAAAATATCAGAAAATAGTGAATTATGCCCTTCATAATTGACTCAAGCCAAGATCATGTCAACAAATTGCTTATTTGTTTTGTCCAACCAACACTCAAATACCTAAAGATATTTAGATTAACATAAGACAAATCTGTTCAAAGAATTAATGAATTACTAAAATATCGGCAAATATATATATATCTCTTGAGCAACTCATCATTTATTGTTTCAGCTTTATTTAACATAATACTGATGAATAACATTTTAGACATAAGTATGCCCAGTTTTAAATCACAAAGTATATTTCAGATAGTCTCTCACACCTTAAGGCTTGCTGCATGATTTGGAAAAAGCAGCGGATTGCATTTATTTAGACTGATATTGCAATTGATTTGATACACTATATTGAAAGGATTGATCATTCGCATCATTATTCTCATTATCATTATGAAATATATGAAATGATCGTGGTGTTTTGTATTTTTAAAGAGGATCTGAACCATTGAAATATGTTTTCTAGTACAGTTGCAAGAAAAAGTATGTGAACCCTTTGGAATTACCTGGATTTCTGCATAAGTAGGTCAGAAAATGTGTTCTGATCTGCACGTTTGAAGTTTGCAAAAGAGCACCTGGATGTTCCACAGCACTACTGGCAAAATATTCTGTGGACGGATGAAACCAAAGTTGAGTTGTTTGGAAGGAACACACAACGCTATGTGTGGAGAAAAAAAGGCACAGCACACCAACATCAAAACCTCATCCCAACTGTGAAGTATGGTGGAGGGAGCATCAAGGTTTGGGGCTGCTTTGCTGCCTCAGGGCCTGGACAGATTGCCATCATCGACGGAAAAATGAATTCTCAAGTTGATCAAGACATTTTGCTGGAGAACTTAAGGCCATCTGTCCACCAATTGAAGCTCAACAGAAGATGGGTGATGCAACAGGACAACGACCCAAAGCACAGAAGTAAATCAACAACAGAATGGATTCAACAGAAGTAAATACGCCTTCTGGAGTGGCCCAGTCAGAGTCCTGACCTCAACCCAATTGAGATGCTGTGGCATGACCTCAAGAGAGCGATTCACACCAGACATCCCAAGAATATTGCTGAACTGAAACAGTTTTGTAAAGAGGAATGGTCCAAAACTCCTCCTGACCGTTGTGCAGGTCTGATATGCAACTATAGGAAACGTTTGGTTGAGGTTATTGCTGCCAAAGGAGGGTCAACCAGTTATTAAATTTCGAAGTATAAGACTTTCGGTTCATTTGAAGACAAATAAATTTTTCAAGTTGTTTTTTGGGCCTGGCTTTGATAAAAAATGCGCGTTTGGCTGCCAAATAAACTTTTTACTTCGGGCAACGCTGCAAGGCTTGATAACCTATCTCCCCATGAATACAAGGATACAGGCAATCAATTGCTACACAGATGGGACTTCGCTTAGGCTCGCTAAAGACGCGCTACAAGGTACGAAGGCTACCGGCAGGAAAGTCTTGAAACGGTCGGCAGGGGAGAGTCTTTGGGTCATGGACGCTTTTTGGTTCAGTTAAAAAACAGAAATGTTAAGTATTTTTGTCGGAAAAAGTTTTTTTTCGAATTTCTCGTGAAGGTCAATTCTGTGGACACTTATTTACGACGAATTCCTTTCCTACTACTATGTATCTAAAGTTTTTTTTAATATGTATTTTTATATGTGATGTTCACTTGTAGACGCGCAAAGAAAAACGAAAATTCTTTACGAAAAGTGAAGGCGTATTTTTCGGAGCCTGCAACTTGGAGGGCGCACGACTGCATTTTTTTTGTGCGCCCCTTGTTCCCCGCTCTCTTCGCCGGGCCACATTTGCACTGAATTATTTTTGTACCTAAGGGTTACATCAAAGCTGTGTCTTCTTCAACTTTCTTATTAAAGCCTTAACGGTATACGCCTGGGTTCTGGAATAATTAATAACGTCGGGCGATCCGCCAGGTTTTCTCTGGTCCTTCGGTCGGGTTTCCTAATCTTCTTTTTCAATTGCCGGTAGCCTCTCTTTTAACTCGGACGACCACACTCTCGTTTGGTCACCTCTTGACCGCGTTCGGCATAGAACGCCACTCACTGGCCGCGAGATTCGATGTCTTACAATCGATTTTGCAGTGTTAGTGTTTGTAACACTCGAATTCGATTAGTATATAGTCCGAATATTGATTTCAATCGTACCTAGTTATAATCATTGCATGCCGTCGCTGACAAGCGTAATGACTAGGGTATTGTCGGTTTTGATTACGCGGGTTCGAATTAGTCGGCGTAGAGCGCAATGGATACGGTTGAA